TCATCCAGCTCTACACCATGTTATCTCAGATTCTCCAGCATCTGCAGGTCCTACTGTCTCTGAGGCATTAAGTTACATCACCATCACTGGAGGAGTAGCATTAGACAAACTAATGGGGCTAAGGTAGGTAAGACCCCTGTATCCTAAGATCCTAAAAGAGGAGATATAGTGGATGTATTGGTTGTAATTTACCGCAAATCTTTGGATTCCGCAGAAGTACCAGAGGATTGGAAAACAGCCAATGTGACACCCCTATTCAAAAGGCAGGGTGGCATAAAGCAGGAACAATAAACTGATTAATCTGACACTATTGTGAAAAAGTATCAAAACTGATTATTACGGAAGTACTAGCAGGACATTCGGAAAATCATGATCTAATCAAGCACAATCAGCATGGCTTCATGGAAGGGAAATCATGTCTGATTAATTTATTAGAGTTTTTTTTGAGGAAGTCTCAACCAGAGTGGATAGAGGGAAACTAGTAGATGTGTTGCATTTGGACTGTCAGAAGGCATTCAGCAAGGTACCTCACAGAAGGATAAGTCATTAGATTAGGGCCCACAGTGTTGGAGGTAGTACATAGGCATGAATAGATAATTGGCTAATGGGCAGGAAACAGTGAGTAGGGATAAGGGATTCTTTGTCAGATTGGCAATCCGTGACAATGCCAGGGTCACAACCGTTTACAATATATATTAATGACTTCGAGGAAGGAATTGAATGTACTCTAGTCAAATTTGCAAAAGATACAAAAGTAACTGGAAAGGCAGGTTGCAAGAGGGATACAAACAATTTACAGAGAGATATTGATAGTTAAGTAAGTGGTCAAAAAGTTGGTAACTGGAGTATAATGTGGAAAAAAAATGAAGTTGTTCATTTTGGAAAAGAGAATAAAAGAATAGAGTTATTATTTAAATGGAGAAAAACTGCAGAAAGCTGCATCACAAAAGAATACAAAGGGGTTACTTGTGCACAATAAACAGTAAAGTCAGCACACAGGCGCAGCACGAAATCAGGAATGCTAATGGAATGTTGGCCCTTATTTCAAGGGGATTGGAGTATAAGAGTAGGGAAGTGTTATTGCAACTTTACATGGTGCTGGGAGATCACACCTGGAGTGCTTTGAGCAGTTTTTGTCCCCTTATTTAAGGAAAGATATCATTTCATTAAAGGCAGTTCAGAGAAGATTCACTCGGATGATCCCCATATGGAGGGATTGTCTCATGAGCAAAGGCTGAACAGGTCAGGACTAAACTCGTTTGCATTAGAAGAATGAAAGGTGATCTCATTTAAACATGTAGGGTTCTCAAGTGGCTTGACTGGGTAAATGCTGAAAGGATGTTCTCCCTCATGGGAAAACCAAGGACTGAAGGGTATAGTCTCAGAATTAAGGGGTTCCAATTGAAAATTGAGATGAGGAGGAATTTCTTCACTCAGGGGGCTGGGAGTTTTTGGTACTCTTTGCCACAGACAGCTGCGAGGGAAGAGTCCTTGTGAATATTTAAGACTGAGACAGATTCTTGATCAGTAAGGGAATCATGTGTTAAGGGGCAAGGGCAGGAAAGTGGGTATGTGGAGCGTCAGATCAGCCATGATCCTATTGAATGGTGGAGCAGGCTCGAGAGGTTAAAGTGCCTCTCCTGTTCATATTTCTTATGGTCTTAAGTCACTGCCTTAGTATTGAACCCAATGCATTTCTGGCCTTCATATTGTGATCTGCGAGTTACAGTTTGCTTTATGGCATCATGTAATGCGTAACCCTCATATGACTCTGTACAGCCTGAAGTCAAAGTGCAGACAGGAAATTGACCCTATTCTGTGAAGATCCTCTGGGATTGAATCAGTTAACTCACCTGGAAAAAATACCCCATTTTTGGGTCAATCCACCTTTGACTTGTTCCCAAAACGAAATCAGAGCTACTGGAATTTGAAGCAGTTTCTATCAAATATTGTTCCCTTATATAGTTCAAATCATTTAGCC